CCTCTAACACACCTCCCTGATTTTTCGCTCCTGTCCCAAGGGGCTGGGGAGATAAATGAGCTCATGTCAGACACACACAGTGACAGGGATAATGATGAATTACACAGAAATTAGCGCACAGCCCGAGGATACACTACTACACTGACACATACACAATCTGCATACAGGCCCCACATGCATCAAATTTTCTTGCATCTAAACAGCAAACAATACACCAAGAGCCTGAGTCAGGTAAATTCGTAATGCACACACACACACGCACACACACACTTCATGACAGGAATCTCTACTTGAGGAGAGGGCACAATGCTGAGCTGTGAGCCCAACGTCAGCCACTTCCTGTCTGGAGGGGTCAGAGGTTAAACACTCTTCAGTCTCTTTAAGCCCTACCACAGAAATAAAGAGGCAGTGAAACAGAGCAGCATTTTACCCTCTGTTCTCTCTGAGCGACACACGTTCAAAGTAGCAAAAACTGAAACTTTGTTCGCTGATAAACAGGATAGTCACAAATATTTTCAGCTTATGAAGACAAATGCAAACGCAGACATAAAGGTTTAGAGAACTTGAGCTGAAACTAAATTAATCAAAAAGCTGATCATCAATAGTTAACTGATTAACAGTTTAATTTAAAAAAATCTAAATATTTGCTGGTTGTAGATTATTTGAGGAATTTCTGCTCTTTTCTGATTTCTATCACAGTCTTTTTTTTAACTGTTGTGAAATAAAAACAAAAAACAAAAACACACACTGCTCATCACTCATATGACCCAACTTCCAATCTATATACAATATAGACTAAGGAACTGTCCCTGCTTAACTGGTCCAGGATCAGACTTTCCCAATCAGAGGCCATCCAAACTGGTGTTTTGGCACAATCTGGATACCCTGCCAGACCCAGCACAAAATAAAATAGGCTACCAGAATGTCACAAAATTAATTTGGCTTAGGTCTATTCAATGATAAGACCAAACATTAATTTCTACTTATTAAAATAGCTACTCAAAAAATGCATGTAACAGACTTACTATATACAATAACAACCCAATCAATATGTTCAAATGTCAATAAGAAAAATATATCATCACAAAATACAGACATTGTATCAAAATAAGAATAATAAACTTTTCTAAGTGGCATCACTTGTTCATTGGGATGAACTGAGAAAAATCAGCACCACCGATTATTTATAACATCATACGCAGAGGAAAGTCTTCATTCAGGCTTTGAAGCTTTAGCCTTTGTAATATAAAGATCCAAAACCCTTCTTGTCTTTTTAAGAGAAACTCAAGGTCCCCTCCCTGTGTTGGAGAAAATCCTTTTCAGTGCCATGAAATGTTTGAAATGTCACTGTTGGTCAAATAAAATATAACTTAGAAACTTGTGAAAAGTCTTTTCACTATATTTTCATATGTCAAAATGCTGAACTACTAATTTATTAATTTAAAAAGTCATGTAGAGAGGCACAGTAAAGAAACCCAGTGCTGAATTCTTGCTTCTTTCAGCACACGAGCAGATTTCACATTTAAGCTACAAAAAGAACCAATCCACCATCTGACATCAGAGGAACAAACAATTATAAAAATGGCACAATCGCCCAGGTTTGGACATGGAAATTTGGCATATGTGGCCCAAACTGATTTGAAAGGCACATCTTTTTTTTTTTAGACTTACACATTTGTGATACATCTGTGCCACATGTGAACAGAAAAAGAATCATCCCAGACTCAATAAACCAGGCAGGGGGAAACAGAAACATAGACAACTGTATGTATAAACCACATCTGTCTGTTTTTGACTGCACGAAGAGTCGGTCCTCTGAGATCTCAGACCTGTTGTGTTATAACTCACAATGTCACCAATATGCTCATTACATTTGTAATCAACTTGCCATCTGTCTGCAGAAGTTTGACAAAAAGACTGCAACTGTTTCCTTGCTGCGTAAAGTCCAGAAGCAGCAAATAAGAGGATTATATAAGAAGGGAACCCTGTGGAGTTTTTTAAAACTCTAGTAGTGCTACAGAGCAGTATTTTTATTAGTGGGTGCCTGACGTGTGCACGAGGAGGCACACGAATGACTTCTTACACATTCCTCCAATGTTTTCACATCACTCCACTGATAGACAAGTTGCATTAATGTGCCAAGATATGCAACAATACACCAGCCAAGGCAGAGAAGATAAACAAGTTAACACTGATTTTCAGAACTTGTAAAGAAATATTCTGCTTTGAAAATGTATGGATTTATCAATTTTATTATTTCTCCATGGCTCACAGTGACACCAGGAGCTTGATTCATCAGAAAAGATTCAAGTAAAATGTTTCTAATACATAAACAGCATGTGATCTGTCTGATCTAAGCAGCTGTCTGTGGCGATTACACTTCAAATGCACCAAAGGAAAAAATACTTGAAGTATAAAAAAGGGGTCTAGGGATGATGTGTGTCTCGGAGTCAGTGTGGATCTTCACATTTGATAGATTGGAAGTCTCTGCTTTGTGATACAGGCAAGTGACAGACCTGCAGATAAACGGTGCAATGACAGTGTCTCTGTGATTGTTACATCTGCCCACCATTTCTACAGGGAGAGCAGTTGTTCGTGTTTAACCTGTTTGTTTTGCAGTCACACCCAGTGAACCTTATATAAATTTGGTCACAAAATGCGACTGATCACTTGCAGTCAGGAGCCCCGTTGCCTGTATGTAGTGTAGAAAAGATAATGCAATCCACAGAACACCACAGAGTAGAGGTGCTTCTATTTTTCTAGTCAGGCACAATATACATATTTGGCATCAAAATCACCAACATGTCTCCGATGAAACTTTCTCCTTTGATCATGAACTTTTATTTCATTCCCTGCTGAAGCCTGTGAGTGGATGTTTACCTGCACTCACTCAAAGGTTCACCTGCTTTCAGCTTTACTGATCGAATGGGTTGTCTGACATTTTCATACGCTGCATTCCGTACTCATCATGTGTCAACACATTAGCTAGGCATCAACACTACAGAGGATATTTCCTGTTTGTTGATGTATTGCAAAAGCTCTTGTGAAAAGGTCCCTAACTGTTTCTCTGTTGACAGGTTGCTGTTGGCTCCCTGGGCCACTTTCTGGAGGGGTTTTCTATGTGGATTCAGGGTTAGGAACTTGAATGAATGAGCCATCATGCACAATGAATACGGGCCCAGGTGTGTGACTGTTGCTTCCATTGCCACAGCAGTCAGTCAGCGGGGCCTCCTTGCTAATCCTCCACCATCACTCAACTGGATCTCAGCCATAATCTCACTAGGCCAAAGCTCAGCAGAAGGGGCACTCCTGGCTTTAAACTGAGAACCTGACAGCTAATCTGGGCCACACCCTGGGGTAACCCTATACCCTTCCCAGGGAGCAGTCACAATAACTCTGGGCCACAGTGATGAGAGAAAGACCTCCCAAATGTCACAGACACTTCACACCTAGACAGAGACGGACAGATAATACACTTGCTCATTTGGATGCTCGCAGCTGTTAAACACAAGAACACTCATTCATGCACAAGCTAGTAAAAAAAGAAGATATTTTGTCTCTTGTGCTACCAAACTAGCATCTACCTCAGCATACCTGCCTCACTAGCTGAGAGAGTCAATCAAACTCATTCTATTAAAGAAAACCTTCCATGGTTGCTTGCCTGGATATGAGCATCCACTGGGCACCAACTGGCAGGATGCAGCCTGTAATTCTTTACAGCTGTTTATAAGCTTACAATAAGCAGCCCAAGAGCCATTCTAGTTGATGAGTGTATGGTCTCAGACACAATGACTGGCAATCAGATACAGTTCATGCATAGAAAGTACTTTCATGTTAAATTCAGATGTACAGAACAGGAAATATGTACTGTGTCATGAACTGTATGGCGCTATATGAATTAGCTATTATTGCAGACAGTAATTAACTTGTTTCTGATAAATTGCACAAATCAGAGATAAACTGAAACAAGTGCTTATAAAAAAAGTGGTTTCACAGTAATAAAATATAACCAATTTGTAGGTAACTGGCTATAACATGAGTCACTGAGGCTGCAGTTGTGAGGAAATCCCTTCTGTTTCCTACAAATCTCTAAAATCATATGATAAGTTTGGAGATCATGGTGGGCTCAGTTTTGGGTAACAACAACACACAAACACACACATGACTAGGACAGCAGTTGTTAACCTGTAGACGCTTAAGGTATTTTCTGACAGTAAAGGGAGGAGCAAAGTAACCTGGGGTCAAATATGTTACTTCTCATCACCCATGAG